AAGTTTTCATGCCAAAGTTGCATTTTCGGTTTTGGTTTTACTAATTATATATATTGTTGTATAAAAAGTGATTAGATCACCATGCAAAAATAATATCCATTAAAACAAAAATTGTTTAATGCCGATAAACAGTAGTTATTTCTTATTATAAACACAAACACTTCAGACATTTTATCAATGTCATGTTTGGGCAAAGGATGTAACTTTGGAACATTAAGATAAATTTTTTAAAAATGGAACATTAAATATTTGAAAATGAAATACAAGTTTTCAAATGATATTTTAAAGTAAAATTGAATTTTTGGTTTATAAGTAGGAGACTTAAAGCAATCATTTGATTAATAGAAATGGAATTTATAATAATGTTTGTATCTAGAATCAAATAAATCTTTGCATTTTTATAAAAAAAAATGCAAATCTCTGAACCTTACAAGTGAAATTCCAGCATAGTTTAATGCAGAAAAAGACAAATTCTTCCAATCTCATAAGAGATCATCTTCGGGTAAAGGGTCAACAATACCATAGATCTACTTTGTCATGCTAAAAGTGATAGATAGTGGGAATATGCATATAAATTAATCTATAATATCTTCAGAAACAGAAAGGACAACACTGACAAGCTTAATGTACCAGGAGTTTATAGGATTCTGTTGAGACGAGATTAGAGTGTGATCTTGAGTATGTTGGTGTCGCCATGTGATCACTCAAAATAACGCTTGCGAAACAAATATGATATTGATAAAAGAAAATACAACACCACCCTAGCCAGGTATACTGCAGATGACGACATTCAAACCTATCTAGACAAAGCTTCTGTTATACAATGATCTAATCATGACGACCAAATGAGGACACTAGAAGCTCTGAAGATATTCAGATCTGAAAAGAAGGGCTGTTGCATCAATTTCAAGGATGAAAAACGTTTATCTTATGCCTGGCAATCTTCATACCAACAAGAACAGTTAATATACAAAAATGTTTATAAATTTTCATTTATACTTAACATAAATTCTGTAATACATAATAAATTATATTTTGTATCACATAAATACGTAAAAATTGCACAAGTGTATATAAAGAGTTTTCAAATAATTTTAAAATGTTCCTTTCTTTGCATTCCATTTTGGAACATATTAACCTGAAGAAGATCTGTATAGATCGAAAGCGTTTGTTTTTTCTTCATTAAACTATGCTGGAATTTCATTTGTAAGGTTCAGATGTTTGCATTTTTTATGACATAGTTCAAACACTGCAAGACTGGTATAAAATATCTTTGTATTTTATACAAGTTTGTTAGTATGTTATGCAAGAATTCTGTTTTTCATTTTGGACATTTTTCACAAAAATCTATTGTTTTGATAATTCCAAACTCCATTAAATACATGTCTGCGTATTCACAATAGAATGCATATGCCTGGCTTTAGCCATTAATAAGACTAACAAGTGAAATTATATAAGATAATGTCATGATTTTATTCAAGAGTTACAAAAATGTTCAATTCAAAAAGAAGTTCATGTAATTCAAAGTCGTGTTTTTTTGGTCTCTTGAGTTTCGAAATAATGGAGTTTTACTGCACTGGGCATTGCAATTAATATAAGTGTACGGTACAAATATTAGAATAATAATTTAGTCACAAAATTATCAACTTAAAATTGATTATAATTTGTAATCTTCTATTAAATATATTTTATCTCTACAGTATTTAGACTTATAAAGCTTAGCTTCTAAATTTATAGTATTAATTATAATCTTTTTGATTTAAAAAATATTCCAAACTTTATCAATACGAATCAATTGTGAAATCTCATTAATACTGACAGAAAAAGATGGCAGTATTGGAAAGAAGAGAAAGGAATAAGAGTGCAAGAATGTGAAAGGAGAGCAAATGAAATGCTACAACAGAGAGAGAGAGATACCTCAGGCTAAACCAGGAAAGAATGAGAATGAGGTGTCTCACATGAAGAGAAGATGATGAAGTTATAAGGATGCTGAGAAGGGAAAATTATCAAAATCAGAGAGATCATGAAGATAAACAGTGTAAAAGACAGAATGTGACAGATCAAGGGAGAGAAGGAAAGCATCATCTTTTTAAATTATGTTATCATCATCACAGCACATTAACATCAATGTATATAATTATTAATAAGAGCTTACTAATAATAAAATAGCAATAAGCCTACTTTCAATGTCATTTAGAAAAATTTAGTAAACCAAAATCTGCTCTGAAGATTTTTTTAAAAATAAGTAAATATACAAATGTAACTTACTGTCCAATTAAGAAATAATTAAATATTTTATTTTAGGTTTATTTATATTTTTAATTATTTCTTAATTGGACAGTAAGTTACATTTGTATATTTACTTATTTTTAAAAAAATCTTCAGAGCAGATTTTGGTTGAAAGTAAGCTTATTGGCATTTTAATATTACTAAGTTCTTATTAATAATTATAATTCTTTATAAGTAACATCAATGCATATAAGTATTTAAATATTTTATTAAATCCCATTTTTCAAGCAGCCTCTCTTTTGTGTTTTTATATCTGAATTGCTGTGGCAGATGCAGCAGCAGTAAATGTAAATAATTCACTCTCTTGCTGGCTAACAGGATTCTCGGGCACCTGATCTTGTAAAGATACTTCTGATATATTAGATTAAGTTGATTTAGCATAAATGTTTGCAAATGATATAATTAATATGATAATTACGGCAGCTGCAACTGTAACTATGGCTACATATATTACACTTTACACATCTGAGATGGCAGTTTTCTTCTGGACAGTTGTCATGTTTCTTTGCAAACACTGTATTTTGCACTTCTTTACGGAATTTTTCTCTTGCATCATATGACTTATTTATGATTACATAATAATAAGCTCGTACGTCATTCTTGTCATAACGTCACGTGATGTCATGACCAAAAAATGATGTAAGAGGGGCATACTCTTTCAATGAAGCAAATTTTGCAAGTTCACTAGGCAGAACTCTTGCTAGATCGAATTACTTTACAATAGAATCATAAGTAATTCAGTCAGCACGTACAGTATTGTTGACGCTAATTTCTTCTGCGGTATTATTGAGTGAAAATGAAATAAATACATTGCATACAATATCGACAATAACTGTTTTGTTCCTTGCCATTTTAAACAATTAACATGATTTGCAGAGATACAAGTCAGAATTCATTGTCACATGCCGTAGTCAATCAGATTTCTCACAATCCAGTTATTTAATTTTCTGTATGTTATGTATGATCCTTGAAATATTGTGTCTGCAAATTTATAAAATAATTAGCTCAATTTTTATGAGAAAAACTTTCGTTTTTAATTTTCTTATTGATAAATTTGTTTTTCAGTTTAATCCTTGCATCCAGTAGCCATATTCACAACGAAGAATCAAGACTTAGGACTTTACTTTCAGTACCTGAGCACTTATTGGTTAAAATTATTTTAAAATACAGTTAATGGCAGCCATCTTTTCAGTAATGTTTCTTTTTGAAATTCATACAAAGCAATCTCTAGTCAAATTAATTCATTTCTAATATTTAATTATATCCTTTACATAGCCCAAGAATTTAGCATATCATTTGGCGTCTTCATCAGACATTATCTGTGATTTTTTGTTTTCTTCAAATCAAATTTGCATTTCAGGTTGGTTCATTCCATGCTAGAAGAAAAGATGATGATGATTCATACTTCTTAACAATGTATATTGTGTAATTTTTTTTGAATAAACGTTACACATAAAATATTTAAGTATTTTTTTTTTGGCGTGGAATGCATTATTGTATTTTACATTAATTTCTGTAGGAAAAACTGTTTCGCTTAATGAATGTTTCGCATTACAAGTAAGATTCTGGAATTAATTATGCTCGTTAAGCAAGGTTCCACTGTATTGCTGTTAATTAGGTACATGAATCAATGGCATATCCAGGATTTTGAGAATATGGGTGCTGCTCAAAGATTGACAGGAGACCAAAGCAGATGTCTCCTGTCATTTTTCAGAGAATGTTATTCCATAATTTTAGAATTACCTTAGTTGTCCAACTTTTTAAAATTAAATATATGATGGGAAATGGATAATATTGAATTGATAGATTGATTATATAAATTATACAAATTATGGTATGATTCTAAAGTAAGAATAGAAAGATACAAAATCATTACTTTTCTTATTTTCATTAGAAATTATCAAAATTACTTATTTTGAATTTATTTGTAATTATCTTTAGTCTAAGTCTACACTTTTTAATATGTGTTTCTGAGAAATAACGGTTTACTTTCTGTTTGTACACAATTACTTTCTGCTATTGAAATCATGTGATAGGTATTTTAATTTTAAAGTAACAAAGCTGATTGCTTTGGTATGAAGATGGTGATGAGTACCATAAGCACCACTCCTGGATTTGTCATTGACATGAATTATGTCTATTTAACCACTGACCACTGCAATATTATATATGATATTGCAGTGGTCAAAAGCCTGAAGAAGACCATGATTATGGTCGAAAACATTAGTTTTAACTAAAATTTGTTCTTACTGGAATATAAAAAGGATCTAGTGTGCTAAAAATATATTGTATGCATAATAAAAATATAAAACATAAACACTAAAATAATTGTTAAAAGATGTAATAATGAATTTGTCATAAACTGTTAGTTATTCTGCCAGCTTGTGGAGCATCTAGACTTAAATTTTTATGGATCTTTTGATTCATCTTTTGAGAGATGTATAAATGGTACTCCACTATAATCAATTTATTGATAAACTTGTAAGTTCTATTGATGTCTTATTCTTTTCGTAAAAATTTATATAGTCATATAGGATAATGATAAGAATTATCTATTCACTTTAGCAACCTATGTCAATAATTAAATTCAAAATGATTTTGTTATAATTTTTGATGACTAAAAATAAAAAATATGTCAGATTGTGCATAAGCATATATATATATTTTTTATTTTATTCATATTAGTTAATTATTTAAATAATTTGAATTTCAGGTGTGAAAATGTTTTTTCTGGGAAAAGTAAAAAATGGATCACTAGTTTGGCATTTGCTAAACAGTTGAATTCATCCTTGGAAACAGTCAATATACCTTTAATGAATGACTTAGAGGTAGTTATTATTTCTTTTTTTTTTAATTTGAAATATATGAATTTTAATTCATCATTATTTTTTAGATATTGCATGTGACATTATATTTTATGATAGCCAAAATAGCCACAGATATATTAAACAATGAAGTAAGTTTTTTATTAAAACTCATTTTATCTTTTGTTATATATTCTCATTTATTATGCTACAGTGAAAATTTTATGTTTTTTATATTTTTATATAAAATTTTAATTTCTTTTTACAGGCAGAAGATCTGTATTTTAGGATACATCCTGCAACTTTAGAAATAATGAAATATTTGTTAACAGCTAAAGATACCTTTGAATGCTTAAAGCCACAAAATTATAAAAAAACTATATTGAAAGATATCCTTTTGCCCTCCACATTGCATTTATTTTCATCTGGTTGTCTTCTGTAAGATATATTTTTATTTATTTAATGATATTGTGGATGTTTTGTTTAAAATTTAATTATAATTAAACCATAATTAATTTTAGTGTTTGTCTTCACTTCTGGAAATGCCACACCTTTCAAATTATTCAAGACAATAATAAATGTGCGTCATTGATAATAGTCATACTTGCAAATTTGAATGACTTCCTAAAAGTGACAGATTATTTTTATGGCACAAATTCTGCTAATGATGATGAAGTGAGATTTTTAAATTAATAAATATTTTATTTTATTCAACTCATATAATATTCTATTAATAATTCTTTTAGAACATCCGTATCAATGATTTACATTTTGTTGTTAAGCTAACTAATGATGTTAAATCCATTGTTTCCACACTTCCTTCTTCTGTAACAAAACTAATTCCTAAGGTAAGAACTTCCCAATTTTATTTTTTGATGCATAAAAACCTTTTCATTTTTAACTAAAATTTATTTTCAGGATGTGATGTATCAATATGAATTGGATCTTGCATATAAATGATGGAAATTATATCATAAGTAAAAATAATTTGTATAAAAATTGTATAAATTAATCAAACTTGTATTTTATTTTTAATATATTGTAAATAATATCTGAAAGAAATCTATATACAAAACTGATAAATTAATAGTTATTTAGCAAAATTATATCAGAATTTGTTTCAATAAAACTCCAAAATATCAGATGACCTTATTAGTAGATAAAAAAAAATTCCTATGGTAGTTGCTAATCAATTTAAATACATAAAACTATAAAGTGCAATAAAATACACAACAAACCACTTTAATGGATTTGGAAGCTACAGTATAAAATGGTTAGAAATACATTAGGAGAAATATACATTATTGATATAACACATTGCTTTATATTTCCTGCAAATGCTAAGCAATTTTACTATTACAATGTAGTGCACTTTGCTCCAATTCCTTCCAAAGACACAAGATTGCACCCAGTTTTAACATACTGGAGCTTGCCAATATTTTCATATTGCCAGATTGCCAGATTGCCTGACTGGAAGAGGAAGGTTACCCTCAACAGGAGGACACTAGGGGTTAGATATACTATATAAGGCAATCCTACATTTAAACAAAATTTTTTCTTCTTCATGCAAGTAGAAAAATACTCAATGAGGTATGAAAAAACAAAAGAATCCTTTCCACTTTCTCTTACAAATGAAGTGAAATAATAAAGGAATGGACTATCTTGAAACAGAAAGTATGAACATTCACATTTCATTGGGGATACTAAGGCAGGTTAATTTTGAATGATTTTACAGAATCACCCATTTATTGATATTGGTTTGATGATCTGTTTCCCATATCATTGGATCTTTGGATGAGGTTGCGACCTCACTTTGACATCATAGGAGAGGCTGAAAGTGTTAACTAAACAAACATGACTGATGGTAATGGTAGTGGGATATAAATTGAAGTGTTATGGCGAGGTTTAAATCTACTGTAAGAGAAAAGTCTACCCATAAAGTATTCTCTTAAGCTATATTGCATTTCCTTAAAGGAACAAAATTCCTTTAAGAAAATGCACGAAAATATTCAAATAATTTACATAACACTTATTATATAATCAAGATGGGTTGATAATGATAATAATAATAAGCGCAGAGCCGAAACGGTTAGGTGTTGAAAATTGAAATTTGGTACAGTTAAGGTACGTCATGAGAACATACACTAATAAGGGATTTTTCTAAATCCCCCGTGGAGGAGAGGAAAAGAATAAACCATTTCCGCGAAGAATTCAGCTTCTATTATACTATTTTAGATGCGGTATTTTGCATTTTAATAGGGTATGCCATGAGAATGCACATTATGAAGAGATTATTCGAAATTGCCACTGCGGGGGGGAGAGAGGAATTTAAGGATTACCCCGAAGAACTTGGCTTCTACTGTACTATTTTAGATGTCTTTTTTGCATTTATGTGGGAAATCGAACATATTCTTAGACCCTTCTAAAAATTCTCAACGATATTTAGTGTTCCATCATATATAAAGTTGACATGGGGAGCGCATGCTTATAAATTCACTTAATTCGAACTCTTCTTCTTAATGTTCGAATTTATATTTATGAAGATTCTGGAAGATCCAGCTTATTTTTCGAATTTATTAAACCTGAAGAAGAACCCAGAAAGAGTTACGAAAACGTTTATTATTTATCACTTAATGGTACCACATACAGTACAGTACTGGTTAGTGGTTGCACTGAGTCTTATTTATCGCTATCCCTGTGTGGTAAGCAGATATCTAAAAATTCTCTAATTAGTTTCGGAAGAGGGAGGAATTTAATTCTTGCACTCGGTGAAAACGGGTAAGATTGGTTATACAGTAATCTAATATTTAATCTTTGCTATCGTTACTTTTTGTCCGAGCAATGCCGAGCTCATCTGCTAGTATTAAATAAAGTGACTTACACGCAATACGAATTCACTGAAAATGGCTTCCTTCCATAGTAATTTGTTGTTAATTGGCTAATGTCGACTTCCAAATAATTCATTTCAGTTTTATTTCCTTTACTAAAATACGGTGTTTCTGTCTTTCCCTTTTCCCTCTATTATTCTGCAATTTCTCAGCTTTTTCTTCCGTTATTTCTTCTAAAACTAGAAAAAATTTCAGTATTTTTCTTGGAAACTGCCGGCGATACAAAAATGGCACCTGGATTCCGCCCAGCAACAATGGAGTTTGTATTGTCTATTTGGTAACAATCGCCGATAAAGCTGGAATCTAATTGTTTTCGTCGATGACGTCATGTTATTTATAAGGTCTTCTGTCTTGCAAATTTTGTAAAAAAATTACTCGAATATCAAGGAAAGTATTGAAAATAAAATTTTTTGGGGTTTAGGATGGACTTTAAAGTTTATCAAGTTTAAGCCCATATCTTTTTTTTTATTATTAATATTAGGCGAATCACTTAATAAAACATTAACACCTTATATCGCTGAGAATACTTTATTCAATCACAAACGTTTTCAGCCTAATGGATAGGCCATCATCGGGTGAACTGTCAATCGAACGTATTTCAAACTTGTAGCAAATGGAATGTTCGATCATTATAAATTCAAAATTAAAACGAAAAATATAGTAGTAAATCAATAACCAAAATAAAAAATATACTAAATCTTTCTCTGTTATTTTAAAAAAAGACATATCAAATATATTTATTAAACGAAGTTTGGTTTAAAATTTTAGTAAATTTCGTCATATTAATGACCCTTCAGTACCATAGTAGACACCAAATCAGTGATATAAGAGAGGCGCGATTACTCGTTTAAACAACAGTAAATTGAAAAGCCCTAAATTATATTCTTAACACCAGGCCCTAAACTGTGCCTTATAAAGCCCTCTATTGCGGACAGCAATACAGGAAGACACAAAAATCGTAAAGTCGCAATCTTTACATTTAATCTAATTAGGCCTAATTATATATTGTAGATTGAAGTTTTTCTTTAAAGCCTTTAATTACTAAAACGAATTTCTTATTCAAATAAATAGTAATGAAATGTAAAATATCTCTTACCCTGGAGGATGGGGCATGGGTCGATACTCTCCACCATCAAAAAACATCTTCAAATCGCTTTCCAAATCGCACTCTTCGCAACAAGAGCAAAACAATGCAACAACTACTACTACTTCAATTGTTGAATTCGTTTGTTACGCGTTAAACCAAGAAGAGGGAATTTAATGAACAATTTTGGATTTTTTAAATTATAATTTCAGAATCTGGCACATGTATAATAACAATTAAAAAGCCACGTCACACTGGTGTGGAGATGGGGAATGGTTAGAATAGGAACAGTTTGAAAAATGCACATGGTGGTGGAACAAAATACAAACGTGTAAATATAAACATTTTGCATTAACCAAGACCGTGCACGGAAATATAAAACGAAATTAAAGCAAATACTTGATATTTATACCGTAATATCGGGAGAGATGATTATTTAATGGCCATTTCTAGAAATGAAGAGCGCTTCGGGTTATATATTCATATTGTGTTGTATATATAACTAATTGTAGATCATTTTTTTAGTGTAATCTTTTATACGTTGCTATATTTATTTTAATTTGACAGATTTTTATCAGAATTTCATTTGATTAAAACAACATAATTGGATTTTTCGGCATCGATTTCAGTTTAGTGAATTAATTGAATACAACGAATATCCAGTTTTACTCCCTGTTTGTTATTCTGTCAAGCAATCAGGGTTAGTTTCTGGAAATCAAAAAACTATCACAAAATGGGTGTCGCCTTGACACAGCTCTGTGGCTTAACATGGGAAAATTTTATCAAGTTTTACACACAAGATTTTCCACAGACTAAGTAAACCCAACAGAAGTATTTCAAAATTTTTCTCACTGATAACCGGAGAGACTTAAGTGTATAATTTGAGCTTTCTAGACTTGTTAGATCATCCTTTAGCACAGTGGTTCTTAACCTTTTTAGTGGTCAGCACCACCTTAAAGAATGTGTATATTTTTTTATTTTAGGAAAAACATTTATTGCATAAACAAATGCCGTGTTTATTTACAATATATATTACTATATAACATAGCCATTAAAATTTAAATATTGCTTTTTATGTTGTTGTTTATTCATAATAATTCTATTAAAACAAGGCTATTTTTTTGAAAGAGCCAAGTGTAAGTCATCAGATGCATTTAAGCAATTTTTGGCTTTTTTTTTTTGATGTGCCAAAGTGCTGTATTCAAGGTATGCAAACACGTCTCAACTAGTTTCTGTACTGCATGTGACAATGTGACTACGTTAACTGCATGTACTGATGACTAATGACAAGTGCTGCGAGACTGTAGAAGTGGGAGTGCCATGTTGCTGAGTACCACAGCTTGTAGAGAACACGGTCGCCTCGTTTGTATTTTTTATTTTTTTCAAATTTTTGAAATTTCTCTTGCACCCCAGGTTAAGAACCGCTGCTTTAGCAGATACTGCAGTGCCGAACGAACAATAAGAACAGTCTTTTGGAGATTTTTGCACTTTTCAATTGATTATATGTCGACAACTTCTTTATAAACAAATCTGAAACTTTGCACACTATCTAAGAAAGCAATTATCTAACTTTCTTTCGGACTTTTCAGAATTACTTTAAGCATTTGGGGGTAGAAAAATCAATCAAGCATTTATAAATGAACAGAAACAATGTAAGTAAAATTAATTTACAGTTTCTCCTCACATCTCGCTTTCAATGCCATCTAGATTGTTAATATGAAATTGTTGAAATTAATAAATATGACTATTCTGATGAGTTAATCTAAAGATTTATATACTCAGATCCAACAGGAGGTGAATTCAACATTTTTTTCTGGAATCGACTCCCAAAATCTCATGCTGCCTGAACATTTAAAATATAGTTTTTCATAATGTCACCATTGGGATTTATAGAAATTACAATTTACAGTTTGAGAATGCTTAAGAGGGTGAGCGGACGGAGGGAAAATAAAATCCACTCAAATTAATTAACGGAAGTAATGGATGTACGTACATTCAGGGGCAAATCTACATAGGGACTAATAGGGTTAAAGAACTGGGCCCTCAAAAATTATCATAAATTTTTAATACAGTACTTTTTTTGAAAAGTACTGTATTAAAAATTTATGAGCACTTATCGTATAGTAAAACTGGTACTTAACAATTGGTATACTGAATGTAAAGCATAAAACAGATAATTATTTATTTCAAACTTTGCAGTCAATAATTAAAGGAAACTCGCAGGAAGAATTGCAAAATGTTACACGATCGTAGTGTTAGTGGCCAATGTAAATTTTGTTGATCGTCACGGCTGAATAAAAGAGATCAAGAGTGCCTTCGAAGATCACATTAAATCTGGACTTTTACATATAACTAAACCGTTGCTGTTGACTTATCTGCCATTTATTATTTTGCACCAAACTTATATTGATTTGATGGAAAGAGTTCATTGGCGTAACTTTCAGTTTGCATCAGAAGTTCATATATAGTTAATTTAATTGGGCCTCCTCTGTATCTGGTCTCGGATTTCATCTATCTAACTCCGTTCTCAAAACTTAAGATCATTGGGCTGCAATTTGAAAAAATTGCAGCCCAATGATGATCAATTCTCACTGGATCCATGACAGTCTGAAGTATTGGTATGTCACTCCAGGTGATATACCAATAAGGTTCAATCCTAATGACCAAAATGATGGATTAAAAAACGCCCAACATAAATCATGATCACACAGAACACTATTGTAATCATTATCAATTGGATGAAAACAATAGATCCAAGGCTAAAATAAAATTAATATATAAAAGAATTTTATAAAGTTTTAGAAATAACATGACAAAATGTTTATAAAAATTGCAGAAATTTTAATATAATTAAGAGTTTAAAACATACATAATGCATATAGAATAATGTACATAGGAAATTTTTAAAATATTTAAGACCTTAGATTTAAGTATTACAATTGTATCTTAAGCTCAACTATCTGAACCCCACACAATTCTTCTTCCTTTACATACTTCGTTTTATATTCTTGAGCTCATATTATTTTAAAATCAAAGTTTTTAAAAGTATTTTAATACAATGCTGTACAACTATTACATTACAAATAAAAATTATTAAAAGTTTCATATCTATAATTTAAATTACACACACTTGGCATAACCGTAAATTTGCCTCTTCCAGCAATTTAAGGAACAGTAATGTATTTTGAAAGGTACCGTGTGGTTTAACCGATGAGAATAGGTGACCACTGATGATATTTCCACGTTGGAAAATATTATGGTAGACGATAAGTTAGAAACGACAATTCTACCACATATACATTCACCATAGTCCCTGTCCAAGTACGATAATAATGTAGATGGCACAATCCCCGGTCCATATGGTACGCTACAGAATTTATACAAAAATTAATTTTTGTATAAAGTTATTAATTAACGTATTTATTCACTTACTTATATTTCTTAATGCTAATAAAAGCACAGTCTAAAAGAGAACACACTTCAAATTTCGGAAAAGATAAATCTGCTTTGCTTCTAAATGAATTGTCAGTAATATCTAGGACATCTAGATGTAGTGTCAATATTGATAATGGAAGATACTGTAAATTAAAATACATAAAGTTTTTATTAATTGTTAATTGAAGTATATATTATAAAGTTTGTTTTATAGCTTTGCATTAAAATTCAAATTTTGTTAACATTTTATTGGAATGTTAGTCTAATGACAGTTTAAATAAAGCATTTAATCAAGTAAAATTGATTGTATACAATCATGTTATTACACAGCATTTATCATCAAGTTCTTATTTACAATAATGTTTATTATTACAACTATATTTCCTATCTTATAAAACAAACCCACACATAAGATATCCAAATTTTTGCCAAATTATAGATAAAAAAAATAACGTATTGTTTTGAGGAAATTGAGAAATGAAACTATCACACAATCCAGAAAGATAGCTTTTATTGAGATTGGAATATTCAGCAATTTTAACAAGTTCTTCACATTGTATCAATAAAAACTAACGTGAATTAGCAATAAGGGTGTGACTGTGCAAATGCAAGCAAGAATGTGTGGCAAGAAGAGGTAATGTTTTATGTCCTTTTTTTTTTCTTAGACTCATTAGGTATAACTACACAGATAGATGCAAGTGAATGGGAGAAGATGGTGTGACAATGTTTGCATTGAACTAATAATGCTTTGTTTATTGGATGGATTTTAATTATAAATACACCGCACTAACCTTGTAAATGCTTTACAGTTTTTGGAACGCAGCACAATGTTTTCGGTCCACCATAGGACCTTCTTCAGGTAAAGAAGGTCCTATGGTGGACCGAAAACATTGGACCTTCTTTACCTGAAGAAGGTCCTAAGGTGGACCGGTTCGGCATTCAGTTGGTGTTTAGCTAACTGCAAAGCATTTATAAGGTTAGTGCGGTGTATTCATTGCATCAAACACATCACAAAGATGCTATTTGATTCTATTTTGACAGTAAAATATTTTGATTGATTCCTTTGATCAGGAAGATATTTACCAGATATTTCTGAATGAGAATAAACAGTAGTAAATTTTCTTTTATGGCAAGTCCACTGTCTTCTTCACTAAAAGAAGCTATTTTCTATTCCTGTGCCAAGGCATATGCACTGTATTAAGTGAGAAAAGGCAAGCCACAATAAATATCAAACTCAGATATTTTTGAGAGCCAGAAATTTGTTCCCACCAGCAAAATTTTTTGTTTTCACTTCTGCCTGGTGATCATGCACTTTCCTTTGGGAGAACCATATTGCTTGTAACTAGAGTCACATCTGCATAATCACACCCTTATACTAGATTGTTTGTATTTGCGCCAATAAATCAATCACCTCATATTGCCGTCATGCCTACTCTAAATTCTAATATGAATATGAGTGAAAAATTCATCTGTACATGCAACTTTATATAAACAGCTAAATTAATCAAATTGTTCTTTCATTCACCATAACCGTGTATTTCTATTAATAGGACTTATTATACTGGTGTATAGAATTATAGCAACACAGTCACACAGATTAAAATTGGTTTATTTATGATTACCTGGACACACAACAATTTGCGTTTCGGACTTGTATGTCCCTCCTCAGCAGGTATTTTACGAACAAATTTATTTTGTTGTTTCTTTCAATTCCATTTATTCTCCAATAATTTATTCCAATTACGATTAATATTAATTTTAAATAATTCCTGTATAAAACCGATAATTATTACATTAAATACTGGCATTCTACATTAATTTTAACAAATTTATACTTTTAATACGAATTCAAACTTACCAAAAAGTATAAATTTGTTAAAATTAATGTAGAATGCCAGTATTTAATGTAATAATTATCGGTTTTATACAGGAATTATTTAAAATTAATATTAATCGTAATTGGAATAAATTATTGGAGAATAAATGGAATTGAAAGAAACAACAAAATAAATTTGTTCGTAAAATACCTGCTGAGGAGGGACATACAAGTCCGAAACGCAAATTGTTATGTGTCCAGGTAATCATAAATAAACCAATTTTAATCTGTGTGACGTGACTGTGTTGCTATAATTCTATACACCAGTATAATAAGTCCTATTAATAGAAATACACGGTTATGGTGAATGAAAGAACAATTTGATTAAATTAGGACATTGATGCATATTATTTAAGCTAAATTAATCATTTAATATTGAGAAAAAAAGTTGAATATATCAAGCAATTTTCTTCAGCCTGACGTCCATAGATTTATATGGGAGTTTGACAGAAAAGTGATCAAGTAATAATGTTTAATTTTGAATATACTCAAATTTATTAATATATTTAGTATATTAATTTTACACTTATTTTTCCCACAAACCTCTTTGTATACAGAAATGAATGTATTAATTATTTCATTACATTTATATATGTAATTTCATACCAGTCAGTCTAACTATGTTAAAATTAGATTATTACAGCAGAGTGTTACAGTTAAAAGCATGTAATCTGTAACTACAACCCTCTAAATCAAGGTTTCCCAATGGGGTTGGGTATTGATCCTTTAAGAGTCAATTAAAGTTTGAGGAGGGTGGGTAAGGTTCTGTAAATATTAAAAATTTTACACATCTTTTGCTCTCAAATAAATTTAGAAAAATGCCATATGAAAATTATATAGAAGGCTGTTGTATGTATATTTATATATAGTATAATATTGTATATTATAATATAATATTGAAGAGGGTCAGTGGGAACCCCTACTCTAGACCTATTTCAGTCTAGTCATGATTTTATTAAATATAAGACAATTTGAGACAGAAAAAAGTGCATTTTATAAGATGGAAATACCATTCATAATGAAAATATATTTAATTATCTAAAACTTTGATATGTAAACACACCTTGAGACAATTATTTCTTGCCATAAACACTTTTAAGTTTTTCAATTTTCCAATATTCTCGGGCAGTTTCACTAATTTATTTGAATTAATTTTTAGAGAATTCAGTTGTTTGAAATGACAAAATTCTGGAGGCAAAATGGATATCTGGAAATTTTAAATGGTTTTTGTTTCATTAATTTTATCTTTACAAATTCAAAATGTAACGATTTACTTACCAAATTTCCATTTAAATTTAAATGTAGCAAGAATTTCATCAAGTTACCAGCACAGATTTCTTTCGGAAATTGTTCGATTTTATTATCCTCAATATTTAAACTACGCAAACAAAGAGAAGAAAGCATGGAAGGTAATTCAGTAATCTTATTACCCTGCAAGTCCAATGTGTGCAGATGAGATAACTTTAAAATTCTAGGATCGATTATTTTTAATTTACAATTTCTAAGCCTAACATTCTTGAGCGAATTCGGAAAACTTTTAGGATAATTTCCATTTTCGATTACATTGAGAATTTCTTGGGGAAGTTTTTCTAGTTTTGTTGGCGGTTGAGAAAATTTTAACGATTTGTTATTTTTTAGAGTAAGGTTAAGAAACTGAATGAAAGTTTTTAGTTGAAATGGATCTGCCTGAAAAAGAAAAAGATAAATAAATATAAACCAAATTACAAAATAGTTTTAGTATTATAATTTTACTATTTTATATTAAACCATCAAAGTAATTTAGCCTAAAGATAGTTGTGTAAAGTCTTAATGTTTGTGTAAACATTAATATTTAGAAACATCTATAAGTCAGAATGGGATTCAAACTCAACTTATGAAAATCAAACGGATTAATTAAAAGTTAAGATACAAACACACTTTGAAGACATTTGTGTTCAAACATTTACGGCAGACACTTTGCTGTTTTCTTTTCCTGATTAGCAATACATTAGTTCATTGCAGACTGGTAAAATTATTCATAATTTTACACAGTCTGCAATGAACTAATGAACTAAATTTTACTTAGTCCTTGTAAAATTATGAATAATTTTGCATGGACTAAGTAATTGTACGGAAGTATGACTTATGCTTCTTTATCAAGCTGATATATGCTTACTGTAAAGGTGACATTTATCTATTGTAATAACAAACAATGCCATCTATAAACATTGTGATACATACCCTTCTGCCATATTTTTTGAATAATATGTTTCCTATGATGTTTGTAAATGGTTGCTTTATGTGTGTCATATAGAAAGAGAGAAGTCGAGCAATGTTGAACTCTGTTTTCTGACCTCTGCTGTAAATAATTTGCTATAGCTGTCAAAGTGCATTATTCTGCTCCAGAAAGCATCTAGTGTTCCTTTATTTATGCAAACTTCAGATTTCCATCTCCAAATTAACTTGAATTATAAAATTTGAATTGTAACTATATATCATACTAAGTAAAAGATACTTCTATTCATTACAAAAATCACAAACCATCTGAATTCGATTCTGGACAAAAAATTTACCAGAAAATACTGTCAGTACACTCACCCAAACTATCAACAATGCAGTAGAAAGCAAGAACAATCATAAAAGAAATTAAACAAGTAAAGAATAGTAGCTACATTCAAATGTAGAAATGAGTAGTAGTACCCAAACTTTTCTACTGGCAGACCAAATTGTACATAAGTTGCAGTAGGCAAGCCACAAATATTTTTATATTCCATACATACCAAAAATATGTCTATTTCTATAATTTATAAGTGATGTGCCAAATTTATTCGTGGATGAGACTTGGCTCAGGAAATGGCTTGGGCATCACTGGTATCATACACAAGTTAAATTGTAGTTAGCATTCTGTTACCAGGTGCCATCTCCGAACTGCCTCATAAAATGCAGTAGTGGCTTTAAAACCAGAAACAAACTAATCCATAATAAATATCAATATACAGGGTGAGTGGAAAGTAACTAGGCATTGAGAAATCACTATAATTTCTGTTTCTAATGCAAAGATGAAACTTTTTTGACATATACAGTAGACCCCCCTATAACATGGGTTCATATAATACAGATTCGTATAACACAATGAAAAAATTGCGATCGTGTTGTATAAACACACCAAAAGAGACTCGTATAATACAGTAAAATGTCATCGCCGACTCGTGTTGCAACAGGATTGGTCGAATCTAGACTAATAGCGGATATTGCACAAACTGTTGAGTTTAAATGAGCACTGGACCTACTAAAAACCATTTATTATTTAATGGCCATAAAAATTATATTTTTATTAATGATGTCTCCAAAGTTCAGCGAATTTTTCGCAGAAAAATAACTTATCAGGAAATGCGCCCGCCATTCGATGTGCCGCTCTGCGATGAAAACAAGCTTAAGCAATGGCATCGTCGAATGGTGCACACTCGGTAAGTAATCCTACAATTTTTTGTTTATAGCATAGTTTATATGGATTATTCCCAAAAAAATTATACGTTTTGGAAATGTTGAGTCAAATTAGTCTAGAATCAATTAATTTTATGGAAGAAAACCTTTCAAACAGCTGTAGTCCCTAAACTGCACATGTGCCGGGCTGTGATTGGCTCATGTATTTAAGTGACTCATAAAACACGGAATTCATATAAAATGGAACGTATCTACCGTGTTATAGGGGGAATCTACTGTACCTTATTAAATGGAAATACAGAATACCTTAAAATTCAATGTAAGCATCAGTGCCATCTACCAACTTCCACAACCAGGGATTGTAGTATGGATGGATGGTTGTTTCCTGTATGTCCACTATAGTCGTCATTACCTTTGAATGCAATTCTTGAGTTTCTGGATGGATTGTAACACTGCATCCCTTCACTAGTACACCACCACCTCTGCACAGCAACTATTCATTTCCATACCTCATAGCAAGCAACCATGCAGCAATCTGCACTTGCTCTTGAACAGACAAGCAGTCAGCCATCTTTCATGCCACTGCACACATTAGTCCTTTAGAGCAAAGCTAAACTTAGAACAACTAAATGTAAAAAATTTAAATTGACATGTGCATAGTGACAATGCGCATGTGCCATAATGTGTTGAATAGGCACCAAGAAGAAGCTAGAGACAATGTTTTAATCTTTTATACAAGCTGACCCATATAGCAGGCAACTCAAGCGTGAAGGAGTTGCACGAATTTAGTAAAATAGTAAGGAGGGCCTCCCAAACTTACTCAAGGCTCCTCTGATTGCAATACCTGAGCATTTCCACACGGTCCCATAGCAGGGTGTGTTGGTGTTGTAACACCATCCTTGCTAGCTCAGTGTCACATCTGCCTGCCCTGATGGAATGTTGGCGTTCGGAGATGCGGCAAGATAACATTCTGGTTGTTGCTGCTGCTATGTAGTGGGTGTGAATCCCAGATGTTGTGTTTTCCAATGGGATAGAGTATATCCCAGACTTCTCTAGTATGTGTTGTCTAAAAATATGGCAAATGTGGGCAGTAATGTGGCCAGAGAGCAGTAACGAGGAACGGACAATTGTGCATTCCTTTGGAATGCATAAAGTGGTAGCAGGAAAAAGAGATCTTTTAACATTGTACAAGATATACTTATATTTGGAATTAGTATAACCTGCTGCATTTACTGCTGAGCAAATGGCAGTAAGTTCAATATTGATAGTGGTTTGTGTGGAAGGCAACAGAAAGGTCTTTCTAATTAAAGGGCAATAGCTGCATTGATGTAGTGCTGCAGATGGTATGCTATGGCAGGGATTAAAGGGGGCATGTTTTTAAATTTATGGAACACAGTATATTATATTTCCCTGGGACTTGAAGATGTTTAGATCTAAAAATGCAATTTTTTCCCCCATTTTCTTTTTCCCAGGTAAAGTTGATAGTAGATTAAACATTCTAAAGGACTAATGCTGTTAGTTTTAATTCAAAATCTTTGTTCGAAAAAATTTTCGAACAAAGATTTTGAATTACCCAAAGACTAACTGTTACCCACGGCTTTGCCCGCGAGGATTTTGCAAGCAAACCCTATTTATATTCAGTATTTCAACAACCATAGTAATTGTTATATAACACCTACCGCTGAGAATGACGAGAATTGCCAAGAATCAAACAAACTATTTTCAATATGATCAATTTTCTGGAATGTTTACAATCAAACCAATACGCAATAACAAATTTGAATTTAAAACAGTTTGAACATTTGGTTAAAAAATCGAAATATATGAAAATATTTATAACAATGTCTGAAATGTTATCAATTTAATACATCTAAGTAGTCAATGAAAATTAAACGTAGTTGAAAACGAAAAATCGCATCTAAAATAGTACAGTAGAAGCCGTTCTTCCGGTTAAGCCTTAATTTAATTAATTTATTTAATGCTCTCCCTCTTCCCCCGCTGGAGAATTTCGAAAAATCCCTTCTTTGTGTGCATTCCCATGGCATACCCTACTAAAATGCAGATAAAAACAAAAAATCACATCTAAAATAGTACAGTAGAAGCCGTTCTTCCGGTTAAGCCCCCTCTCCCCTTCACGGGAAAATTTCGAAAAACCCCTTCTTAGTGTGCGTTTTCATGACGTACCCTAACTGTGTACCAAATTTTACCTCTAGGTTCAGTGGTTTGCTCTGGGCGATGATGAATCAGTGACTCAGTCAGTCAGGACAAGTAATTTTATATATTTAGATTGTGTTTGCTGAGGATGACATTTTATAGCATGTCAAAAGCACTTGCAAATATAGCAATATTTATACATAACGCCTGTGTGATAATTTGTTCTTCTCTTGTTTAACGAACGATCACTGTGAAATCCAACCCTCAAATTCAATTAAATTCATCAATGCCTAGTTACTTTCATCCACTCTCTACCGTGTTTCCCCGAAAATAAGACCTACCACAGATTTTGCTGAATTGCGAAATATAAGACCTCTCCCTGAAAGTAAGACCTAGCGAAGTTTTTTAGTCGTATCGGTCAGCGACAGATGGTTAAAAGTGGCCGTCGGCTTTTTGAAAGTACAGCCACTGATTGGTCAGCAGACAATTACGCCACACGGCATGATTTGCATAAGACTATGGCTTGGGAATCACAGATTTGCATAACATTACGGCTGGTGATGGCTAATTGGTCGGCTGGGAATCACGCCACGACATTTGCATAGTGCTACGGTTCAGTAAGCACTAATTGGTCATCGAGTCCGATGTCGACACTATAAAAAGGCGACAGTTCGACACACCGGATATACATCACTCTCATCTAAGTTCGACTTGGAAATTTTTTTGTTCAATAATAAATGTGAATTCTTCTTCCTGTAAAAAATAAGACATACCCTGAAAATAAGACCTAGCGCATTTTTCAGAGCAAAAATTAACATAAGACACTGTCTTATTTTCGGGGAAACACGGTATATAGATAGATGGCATCTAAAGCACGACTGAAAAAAACAGCTATGACACCAGAAAAGTGAAACAGCTGTGTCAATAACTCATCAAAACAAAAAAGAATTTTTTTAATAGTGTTATTTTGTTTAAACATTTTTACATGCAAAAAAAGATAGCCTTCCTTGGCATAGTGCAGGGGTGTCCAACCCGCAGCATGCATGCGGCCCAATAAATGTGTAAACAAAACCAACAAATTGTTTTATTATTTTTATTTATTTATATCAACGGCAGAAACTCAAAAAAGAAGTTTCACAAAGCTGTAAACTTTTATACATATTTTATTTTTGAGGGAAAAGGAAATATTTTAAAATACTTGGAAATATGTGAATGACAAAGGAATACTAAATAAAGCTGAAGTTGTGAGAAAAGGAAAGGCCAAAAGATAAAAAGTAGTGAGAAAGGTTAAATAGACCTTCTGTTATGCAAATATTGACCCTTAATTTTTCATCCTTACTCACTACTTTTTTTCTTTTGGCCTTTCTCTCCTTTTCTCAAATTTGGGTCTATAATCCTTTGAGTCACAACTCCAGCTTTATTTAGTATTCCTTCCAGCATTGCAAGATTTGGCTACTTTGTGCCAAATTTGGCTACCTTTTTTTAGTTTGGCGTAAAAATTATCATTTGCCGCATTGGCTACTTTCTGGGCTACATATTANACACAAATATCAAAGTGCTTTCAAACTTCTTCAGTTCATTCTAAGAATTTAAGAACTGAGAACTTTAAATTCCTTTTTTTTAAAACCTACTAAAATTTTTTAGAGGTTCCAGAACATAGTTTTGTCTGTCTGTTCAAGTATCAGATGAGAACAGCTGAATCAATTTGTATGAAACTTTGTACATACACTCAGGAAAGTCGCAAGAAAAATTCTGAATGTACAGTACATCTGTCTATCCAAATATAAGTTGAG